ACATCTAACTCATCTGGTCAGAGAGGGGGCGGGGCACGCTCAGGGCCAAAGGCAAGAAAGTGAGGTCAAACACAGAGACCAGGTCACAGGGAGGAGCTGAAGTGGGCACTCTTTCCCCAGAGCACAGGTCAAGAAAGCCACCACAGGCCAACCCTCAGTACCCTTCAGTGAGGAGGGAACTGGAGAGCCAGGTGAACCCTCGCAACACCCTGGCTGTCACCAGCTCCCAGGCAGGGGACACCCACCTGGTTCCTCTGGAAATCCCATAATCCCACATTTATGAAACACATGAAGAGAGGATTGCGACAAACTTGACGTCCCCAGAGCTGGGGCACAAAGGGGAGAAGCAGAGCAGTCACTGTGTGTGCAGTGCTTTCTTGGTCTGCTCACCTTCCTGTCTGCCCAGCCAGAACTGTCCAGACCAGACCAGACAGAAGTAGAAAACGATGTGTGTGAGTGCATGTGTGTGCGTTTGTGTCTGTGTGATGTGTATCTTCATAGGCACATGTTTGTGGGTACGTGCTTATGTTTATGCGCATGTGTTTCATATATGCCTGTGGTGTGTATTTGCAAATATATACGCTTGTGTGTGCATGCACGTATGAATATGTATGCATTTGTGTTTGTGTTTTACATTTGCCGGTATACCTATTTGTATGTTTATGTACATGCATGTATGGTGTTTTTTATGCTTGTATGTGTATCCCTGTGTTTGTATAGGTAATATTTGTATGTACATGATTGTACTAATGCATGTGCACGTGTGTTTGCATATGTATTTATGTACAAGTGTTTTGTGCATTTACATGTTTGTGTAGGTATGCATGTGTGTAGAATCTCCCTTGAAAATCTTTAAAAACAGCAGAGGCAGGAATACAAGAGGCCATACCTTTGACTGAACTCATTTTTTTAACAGTGAGATTTTTTCCCCCCTCACTTTGCTACCAGAATGATCTCCAGTGTTGTAAACTAACAGAATTTCAAAACATAAAGTCCTCTTGGGTGGGTTCTTAGAGCCTGGCTATTGAAGGGGCTTGCAGTCAGCCCTGAGAAAAATCCCATCAGTCAAAGAAGTAGAGGACCCACTGAAGGCAGATATGAGACCCCAGCCCTGGAGACAGGCTGTGGACCAACAGGCGGGAGCCATCACAGTGCAGGGCCAGGTGGGGCAGAGTACCGGGGGCAAGGGGAGGTGAGTCTCATTCCCTCCTGAGGCAGTGAAGGAAGGTAGAAGCTAGGCAGGACTGGAGCCCAGGGGACAGGGCGTAGAGGACTAGAGGATAAGGAGAAAGGCGGCGGGGCTCTGCACTTCAGGGAGGCAAGTGGCTGGGCAGAATCGTGCAGAAGCCCTGACACAGGGCTGAGAAGCAGATTGCTTGCGGAATACTGAGGCGCCAGCCCCAGCTCTGCTGACATGCTGAGTGCAGGCATCTGGAAAGACGGGGCTCTGCTGCACTTCCACGTGCAGCTTCATGTGTGGGCAGTGGACATAAGAGCAGAGCAAGAACCTTGGTCAGCACCATGCAGGGAGAAGTAAGAATACGGGACCCACTAGCATCCTTGAGGCCTAAGGCCCCCATTCTGGCTTCCTTCCTATGGCTGTGATAAAACACTGACTAAAAAGCCACTTAGGTGAGCTGGAGGGAGGACTGAGAGAGAAGAGCAATGACAGCTCTTCTGGAGGTCCCGAGTTCAAGTTCCAGCAAATGCATGATGGCTCACACCCATCTGTAATAAGATCTGGTGCCTTCTTCTGGACTGCAGGCATACATGCAGGCAGAGCACTGTATATAATAAATAAAAATAATATTAAAAAAAAAACACTTTCAGGTCACAGTCTATCAGGAGGGAACTGGGGCAGGAACTACGACAGAAATCATCGAAGAATGATTTGCTTGTTGTCATGCTTGCTTCTACTCAGTCAGTTCTCTTAGATAGCTGGAAGGGTGGTGGAGGCTTGTGAAGGATTAGGCAGTGCCTCTGCCTGAGTTGGGAAAGGTATCACTTGCTGGAGAGTAACACTACCAGGAAACTACAGCCCTGCCTGCTTTTATTAGGATAAAACGCTTGGCTACATCTGTGGGGAAAGTATTGTAATAAATAATGTGTATAATAGGAACCGGGAAGATGGCCCAGTGGGTAAAGTGCCTGCCACACAAGCACAGGATCTGAGTTCAGAGCTCCCAGGACCCACTTAAAACACCAGGCAGGCACGGCTGTGCACGTCGGTGATCCTCGTTCTGGGGAAGCAAAAAGAGGCAGGTCCCTGGAGCTCACTGGCTAAACAGCCTAGCCAATCAGTGAGTTCCAGGTTCAGTGAGAGACCCTGTTTAAAAAAAGATAGGAGTGTGGTTAACTTCTGGCTGTACACACACACAAACTCACACACAAAGCGTACGATACTGTGGTGCTCATGCACTCCTTATTTGGGCGGTAGAAGTTTAAGCAGGTCTTGGGGAGTGAGTGTGGCTCTGCAGGGAGGAAACGCATCCAATAGGGGCCTGAGCTGTAGGGAATCTGTGACCCTGCATGCAGGGCATCTGTACAAGAGTCAGATGATTAAGGGCTTGGCTCCCTCCCCCTCCATTCTGCCATGCTCTGTGTTTCAGCTCCCTGGCCTGGCCCAGCTAATCACAGACCAACAGCCACTGATGCCATCACTCCATTCCCCACAAGAGTAAGAGCAAGAAGATGCGGATTTGTCTCCATGTGTGTTTTTATTTGGTAGAAAACCTTCCTAGTGATGCCCAAGCCTCCCTCACCTCCCCACCACCTTCCCTCATTACAATACTCCTTCCTAGAGCTGTCATTGCCAAGGACAGTGGCTTTACTTTGATCTGTCTGATCATAATAGGTAGAAAAGAGAGGGTGAAGTGCGGATATAAGGAAGAAACCTTCCAGAACTTTCTATAAAATGAGGAGAGAGAACTCAATACTGGATACATGAATGTATTTGAACCCACTTGTCCAAAGGAATTTGATAAACAGTCCCACCATCTGCAGTAGATAAAACCAGAAAGAATAGGGTGGCTTGGGACTTATCTGCCATTCCACAGTCCCGGGATATCAGGTCATGTATGGAGATTACACTGTGTGACCCTATTCATCCCTGAGGTTCTGGGTAGGGACTGTCCTGGCCCAGCCATTGTATGGAACATCCTGCCCTCCCACAGCAGTTGCGAGATGTGAACCATATCCAGCCTGTGCCTGAGCCTGACCGTGTGGGTATTCCATGTCCCATGAGGGTCTGTCTTTGCAAACTTTTGCGCTCTCTCTCTCCCTCTCTCTCTCTCTTTCTCTCTCTCTCCCACACACCCAGAGCAGTTTGCCTCTCTGAATCTCTTCCCCATGAGATGTTTTCTCAGCCTATGGGAGCCATATGCAGCTCACTGGGAGCAGTCATGGAGCCCACCGTAGGCTTGCCACATGAAGCATTTCAGTATCATACATGTTGGCCAGATACATGTTCGCTGGCCGTCCATCCCACAGCCCTACTCCCACGTTTGAGATTTGCTTAATGGCTAGTGTGATCTCAGGAAGCAGCTTCGAGTCCAACTTTCAGAACGGGGCCATCTGTAAGCAGAAACCAACCCAAGGAATACAGGGCAGAGAAAGCACCAGTCCTTATGTGTGAAGCTGGATCAAGCTTTGCCTGAAGCCTTTCCTTGATACGCTTCATTTCGATGAAACCATTGAATTCTTTTTACTCATCTGAGTAGATTTTCTGCTACTTATCATCTAGAATAGAAAAATAAATAGTGTTCACAGTAGCCCTCCAGACCCTTTCAAAGTAGCAGGGAGACCACAATTCCTCTTACAATATAGCACCTAGGGGGCGGGGTTGGAGGCTGACATGAACTTACTTATTTACTGTATTTCTTTTCCTTTTCCAAGCTATTTTTTTTTTCTGCAGAAACTATCTCCGCTCTACCCTGCAGTGTGTCTTTGATTCTCTCAGGCTAGTAGCTTCCTCTTCCAAACCTTCAGAAATCCTCAGGCTATCCTATGAGCAAACTCCCCAACCCATCCTGAGGCTGAGCGAGCTTTGCTTCCTCTCCTCTGGTTCCTCCAAAGGCTTTCCATCACTCCTGCCACACACGGTTGGACACAGGATAGACCCAGCAAAGCCTCCTCACTAGGTGGGAGCTTCCCAAAGAGCTTGCAGCCCTGTCTATGCTCTGTTTTCTGGGTGAGGTGTGTCTCTGCCTCTTGGGCTCAGGCAGCAAGCCTTTGGAGCCTGGCTGCCAGGTTCTCTTGGCCCAGCATGAAGCAAGGGTAACAGGGTACCAGCTCCATCATGTCAATCCGGTGGCGCCTCAGCCTGAATCCCACTGCCCTGGGAGGGGTGAATAATAGAGGGGTATGGGGGTGGATCCCTTCCTGGCCCAGGGACCTGGGCCAGGGGAACCAGCTCACAGTAGGAAATAGGAGAAGCCTCCGGTGACAGGAAGAGACAGCCAGTACTGCCTGCCCTGAGGCAGAGGCCTCGCTTCGGAAGCCTTGGAGCAAAGCCTTCCAGCTCCGCATTTTCTGAGTGCGGTCCTGCCGCTCCTGAGGATTAGTCTGGTTCCCGCAGGAAATTTCAGAACAACACCAAGGCCAAGTTTCAGACCACAAGGAAAAGGTGTCTGAATCCAGCCAGATGCTTTAAGAAGGTTGTGGAAGCAGCGAGGAGGAACTGCAGAAGTGTGTGTGACGAGGTCAGGCCACCCTCCCAATGGAGTCTCTCACCTGAACAAGTGATAGCCTCCCCAGAAAGGTGGAGGTCAAGTGGGGAAGAAGGGGAGGAGTTCTGCAGAAGGGAGGGGACAGATGATACTGGCCACTGCACCAGATATCAAGCCTCAAAGCCCCCCGCCCTAGCTGCTTCTGCTTCCAACATGCTGGCCCAAAAATGAGAACACTCCACTGGCGCCCCGATCTCCCCAGATAACCCCCTACCACCCACACAATCTCCCTCACTCAGGGACTGTAGACACATAGTAACATAGCCTGTGGTTCTGTCTGCTTTATACTGAGATCGGCAAGAGTTCATCCAAAACAGAGCTGGGTTGGGGGAGAAAAGGATGAAGGAAATAGGGTCATCCCAAGAACTCAGTGCGTATGTGCAAGACCACCGGGCCCCAGAGGAATGGAGGAGCAGCCAGTCCTGGGCCAGGAAGCAGCCCTTCTCCAGAGTAGACATCTTCAGCTGAAGGGCTTCACAAGCTTCATGGCAGCATAATTCTAGGAGAAAGAGACAAGGATAGAGACACACGGTCAGCCCTTCAAGGAAAGTTCAGTGGGGGAAAGCTACAGGCAGGGAGCTGGGCTCCTGGGTCTTCATCCCTTGCCTACAGCCTGTCCTTGCCACTTCCTGGCCCATGCTAGGCTCTACACTACTCTTATGACGCTCTTATCCATCAAGCAAAGCTGACTCTGACCATTTCCATGATTCCTAGGCTCCCATCTCATACACACAAACGGGAGGCCCAGGGGCTAACCCATCACCAAACCACTGCCCAGAAAGCCAAAGAGTGGGCTGTGGGGCCATAGGACAATCCATAGCAGGGGCCAGCATTAGAGAGGGGTCACCTTCCACAAAACGCTTCCTGCAGTCCTGACAGGAGCCTCCCCTCCCCACCACTCCTCCAAAACACCATGAAAACACACAACACAACACAGGGCTCTTAATTGGGACAGTATGTTCTCCAGCGCCGGCCTGGAAAGCCAACCCTGGAAACAAAGCCGGCCCTCCTTCCCCGCCAAATCGCTTCTGCCGCCCCAATCTGGCCCTGCTCCCGGCAGGCTCAGAGGGGCCAGAGGAGTCAGAAGTCCCTGCTCAACCCTCCTAGGGGACTCTCTAAGACAGTGGGGGTGGTCTGACAAGATGGTGCCCTGCACTGGCTACAGTAGGCCCTTCTGCCCCACCTGGCTGAAAGCAGGTGAGCCATCAGGCCTGGCCTTCATGAAAAAGGCCAAGTGACTGGAGTCATGGACATAGATGGGATTCTGGGTTGGAGCCAGGCCTGCAAGCAGAAGTCCTATAGCTCAATCCTACTAACTCCTGAATCCCGAAACCCTGGCCTGAATCCACCTGTGCTCCACACGCTGCTCTCGGAGGTAAGTGCATATAAAAGACACCCAGGGAAAATGAAAGCAGTGGAACGTAGCTGCTGGAGCCCAGGCATCAGAGGAGGCTCTCTGCTCAGACTCCCCAAACGTATTCTTCGGAGACCCCCAGGATAGAGGGGACCGACCTTTCTTCCAGACACAGCTCCAAGACTTAGGACAGCCACTCATGGGTCTCACAGGGCTGGACCCAGCTGGGCAGGGCTGGGTGGGCACCCAAGTAGCTGGCGTGAGGGCACTTGGAGCATGTTCTTGCCCTCCAGGCACTTAAGTAAAGGACTCAGTTTACCATACAGCAAATCGAAGAAACAAACAAACCTGACCTGAGCCAATCAGAAGCCTGGGGCTCACATAGTCCAGCCCCTTCCCCACACAAGGTCACACACACAGAAGCTGGTGGGAAGTCGGTAGAACCCATGTTCCTAAGTTCAAGAACAATGCTCCATTTCCTACAATGGGGCTATTCCTTCTTTACTGTCCTAGAGGGCAGCTTCCTGCTGAGCTAGCCCAGAACTCTGCATCCCAGAAGCTTCCTAGAGACACTGAAGCTGATGCTCACTGGACCATGCCGGGAGAAGCAAAGTATACACCAGCTCTGCCGGGAGAAGCAAAGTATACACCAGCTCTGCCCCCAAACTCTCACCTGTCATCACCAGTGTCCTAACTATAACCTAGGACATCTGCCTCCCGGCTTCTCTCTTGGGGTCCCCAGGCAGGCCCTCCTCTCCTAAGCACATACACCTACTTACTCAAGTCACCCCAATCTCTGAGTAGAAACTGACCATACCAAGTGAGAGAAGGTGAGCTGAGACAGGCCAGAAAGGTGGGGGGCTATACCTTAACCTCACCTCCACAGCCCTAGATGGCCCAGCTGCCAGGCACTGGTCCCAGGTCATCTTGGTAGCAGCTCAGCCCACAGAACACTGTACTTGCAAGACCACCCTTACCCCAGAGAAGACCTGACCCTGGCACTGTATTTGCTGTCTTCCTTTCTTTAAAGTATCCCCTTACACGGCACAAACTTCAGCCCTCACAGCCTCGACCCACCCAGGACCTCAGTCAGTTTGGCCAATTGACTTCAACTTCCTGCTCAGTACAGCAAACATCGCAACAGGAACCAGGAGCAGAGGGCAGAGGCTTGCCCCAGAACCACCACAGACAGAGCCGGGGAGCTAAGCACCAAGCAGCCCTGGATGGCATGGCTGTGGAGACCCTGCTATCTCTTGGTCAGATGCCAGCTGATTCTTACCAGATGTAAGGTATCCTGAGTACGCACGCTTCCTGTGAGGGGTTCCAGATACAGTCCCTGCTCATTCCTTTCTCCAAACTCTAACAAGGACCTCAGAGGACCTGGCAAGTGCTGTCCTCTGTCCTGCCACCTCATTCCTTCCCTTCCCCACCCAGCTCCACTCCAAGGGGCTCCGCTGTCACCCTCAGATCAAGCCTCCTGTTGTGTGAATTTCCCCCAAACTGACATTATTAAGGCTCAGGAAGCAAACAAAACTTACAAGTCTCAAGATGCTCCTGAAACTTATAAGATTCACAAGTTCCCCCAAGGTTACTCCAGTATTACACAGTACTAGGAAGAAGAGCCCCTCCAACCAGTAGAACTTCCTGTGCAAGTCATGCGGGTAGCTCCAGGAACAGAGTTTCTGAGTGTTCCCAGCCATGCTGTGGTAGGCTTTTCAGTGTGCAACTGCCTCTGAGTCTCACACAGTGGAGTAAGCAACTGCAGTCAACTCACTGGCTCTCCAAGCTAGCCACTTGTTCCCATCTCTCCAGGAAATCATACGGCTCCTCTACTTCTGCCAGTCCCTTGATAGCCCATTCTTAGGTACTTTCTCAACAAGTAAGGATTCCCTAGGGACAAGGCTTTGTCTCCCTCCTACCAGACAGGCGACACCAAAAACTGGGGTTCTATCTCCTCATTGGAACAGGTCACTGGTTGCCACCAGACTCTAGGAACACATGGAAAATGTGGGACTCTCCCAAGTCAGTGTCTCCCCACAGCAGCCATGCTTACCGGGAAGGCGTAGACAAAGATGCCCAGGAAGAGCAGGAGGATGAAGAGGATGATGAAGAGGATGATGGCACACCGGAAGCGTCTCCACAAGATGAACTTCATGGTCTTGTATGGGGAGGTAAACCACAGGAAAGAGGTGTCGGGGCGCCTGGAGGGGAGACCCCAAGTGTCAGCAGAGCTCTCAGCTGGGACAGTGGGTAAACCAGCCTGGCTCCGGGAGAGGAGCACCCATGCCCTCCGCCCCTCCTCCACAGCCTCTGCTGAGATGATGCTTGCCTATGACACCTGTGTTCTTGGTGCTACTGAGCCCCATCATCAGGACTCCTTGCTTCTTGCCCTCTTCCCTTCTGAACCCATACTCAGCCACAGATCGCATGCTTGGGAGTGGGGTGGAGCTTCCAGGATGCCCTGTTTGGTGAATGAGAGCACACTGACCCCCCAGATAAGCCAGGCTGGCTGCCCCTGTGTACACAGCTGGACATTGGAGGATAAAGAATAAAGAAGCCAGAAAAGCCCATTGCAATCACTCGTTCCCAACAAAGAACTGCAAACCCCTCCCCTTGGTCAGTAAAACCACTCAAAGAACACAGAGGGCTTTGCGTCTCAATCTTGGCCTCTGTAATATCCACTAGTCCTGGGTCTTGGCACTTCCTCCTTTGTCCATCGGATCCCAGCATTCTGGGGTAAAGGTGCCTTTCCCTGTTCTCTAACCCCACATGGGGACAGCACTGATAAAGTAAACCATACACCTATGCTCACTTTCAGAAACACCATGGTGGGTGATGTCAAGCATAGCCCTGAACTGAGTTCCAAAACTATTGTCAGCAACTGCCCAGGAGGCTGGAGAACAGCTTCCCGTCTTCCGTCTTTTAGCTGGAATGACCTCATTTATTTTTGGAAAGCTGAGTCTCATCTGTGAAATGGAGGTAGCTTCGCAGCAGGAGAGATCTCAGGACACTGGACCCTAATGCATTATGCTTAACACAAACCCACAGGGAACAGCTTCTTTTTGCTTTGTTTGGTTTTGTGTTTTGGATTTTGTGACAGTGTCTTGCTATGTAGCCCAGGTTAGCCTGGAGCCCATTATCCTCCTGCCTCAGCCTCTCGACTGCCAGGACAAGAGGCCTGCACTTTCTACCTGGCTTGGCACCCGCTGCATGAATTAGTACAAGAGCCCAGTGTTCCCTAAGGCTGCGTCCATGGCCTGCATCTCTCTAAGCCATGGAAAAACTCTGTACCAACTGACCTTGGATCTTCTAGCTTCGGATTCATGTTGGGCTCATCCCGACCCTGGCCAGCGGGCCGTTCTTCATGTTCACTCTCTGCAACGATCTCCAAGGTCATTTCCAGCTTGCCCTGTGGACACCAATGGAACCTGATTGGGGCCTCTGGCCAGTGACCCAGAGCAGAGCCATCCCAGAACAAACAGAAGGACTGAACTGCTATTTTTATTTTGAAAAATGCAGGGTTATGGGGTTAGAGTAGTGGTTCAGCAGCTAAGAGTGCCTACTGCTCGCACAGAGGAGCCTAGTCCAATGTCCAGCTCACAGAAAGACGGTGAGTCACAACCGTCATCTCTTCTTCTGACACCTACTGGACCCGTACACCTGTGGTACACATACATACACTAGGCACGAGCAGAGACACGTCAAATAAAACAAGCGCACATAGTCAGCTTCAACTGCCTACTTCACCCAAAAGGGAGTCAAATGAGAAGAGAGATTCTCAACTGAGGAACTGTCTAGGAAACATTGGCCTTTGGGCATGTCTGTATTTTCTTAACTGTCATGGAGGTGGGTGAGGCTGTCCCTGGGCAGGTGGTCCTGGGCTGTCTAGGAAGAGGTAGCTGAGCAAGCCAGAAGAGGCAAGCCAGGAAGCAGCACTCCTCCGTGGCCTCTACTTCAGGTCCTGCCTGCAGGTTCTCATCTGAAAGTCTACCTTGGCTTTCCTCGGTGATGAACCTATAAGCCAAATAAACAAACCCTTTCCTCCCCAATCTGAATTTGTTTGTAGTGTTTAGCACAGCAACAGAAAAGCAAGCTGCAATAATAAATATGTTTTTAAACAGTGGATTGTCCTAACCACAAAAGCATTAAGGAGCTACATAAAGAAGGGCGGTCACCCCACCCATTCTATGTGGAGACAGGTGTTCTCAGCATCCTTTTTTTTTTTTTTACCATTTTAACCTTTCTACTACTGTATTTTATCTTGTTTTATTAATTTATTTTTAATTGTGTGTGTGTGCACAGGTGGCCAAAAAAGGGCACTGGATCCCCTTGAGCTGGAGTTGCGGGTAATTGTGTGCCAATCATTGTAGGTACTGAGAACTGAACTGAGGTTCTCTAGAAGACCAAGTCATCCCTCCAGCCCCTGATTCCCAACATTCTTATTCATTGGAGCTGCAACTGTGTGAGGCACAGCACTGTGTATGCGGCTCCAAAGTTTCTTCACTCAGGGAGATATTTCACTGTATAATTATATATTATCCAAAGTTTGGTTTCTAATGATTGTAAAGCATCCTATGGTTGGTTGACCATAATTTATTTAATAACTACTTATTTTGGCTTATTTTATGTTGTTTTCAACTCTTTGAAATGAATAAATAATAGCACAACAAACATCCCAGAACCTAAAGTTTTAATTTAACCACTGATTTTTTTTTTTTGAGATGAGAGTTTAGAAGTGGGACGGCAAAGTACAAGGGCAAAGATGTGTTAAATCCTGCATGGTGTGGTACCCAATTGCTCCCCACACAGCGCAACAAGCCATGCATTCCCTGGCAGAAGGAAGTGAGGTCTGTCTCCCAAAACTTTACCAATGTGAACATTTCTGGTTTGTTTGTTTTGCTAATCTAATTTAATAGCCCAAACAGCAGCTTCTAAAATAGTCCTTTAGTTACTAGGGAACAACTCACTTCTCATGCATAATGCGTGTCTAACCCTGTGAACTAGCAGTCCATGTAGCTTGCTGACTTCCCTTTGGGATGTGTTTCTTATTGGTTATCACAAGTCTTTGTATAACAAGGGCATTTTCCTTCAAGGGCCACTTGAGGGCTGGTTAGCTACTCTGAAACCAGTCAGAGATTAACTTCCTCTCTGGTGTTGATTTGCACTCTAGGGAGGGACTGGTCCTCTAATCACTCTTTCTCCTCCCACCAGCGCAGACCTCTGTCAGGCAAGAACAATCCCTGACAGGGTCCTGCACAAACAGAAAAGGCAGGCCTCTATCCATCCAACAGGAAGCACCAATCAGAGATACTCAGAACCAATCTCCAGAAGGCCATTTGTTCAATTCAACAGGTCTCCCTGCAACAGGAGCCTTGGGAGAAGAAGGCTGGCATAGGAAGAGGGAGGAAAACCCTAGAAAATAGAAGATGGAGAGAGAAGGGCCTAGGAGATGGCTCAGTCAATAAAGTGTTTGTCATGCAAGCGCTAGGATCTGAGCGAGATCCCCAGAACCCACACAGAACCCCAGTCATGGTGATGTGTTTGAAATTCCAGGACTTGGGAAGTAGCAACCGGCCATCCCCTGTAGCTTGCTGGCCAGACAGCTTAGCCTAACGAATGAGCAGGAAGCCAATGAGAGCCCCTATCATTAAAAAAAAAAAAAAAACAATCCGGGCACCCAAGGATTATCACCAGAGATTGACCTTTGGCTGCACATCTGCACACAGAGGAACGTAATAGAGAGTGGCGGGGGGGGGGGGGGGGGAGCGTGTCGCTGGGTTCCATGGGAGAGACAGCCCTTGCCCTCCACCGGGCTGGAAAGCAGACTCACCGCCAGCATCTTCTTCTCGCCCTCCTCTGTCACACAAGGCCACCATCCTTTCACTGTCTTCTGCTCAAAAAGGGACACAAACCATTCAGGGTGGAAGGTGTCATCCAGCTGGTCCAAGGAGCACTTCTCAGCTGTCTTGGCTGGCTTGGGCATGTGGTTGAGATCCAGCTGCAGGGAGCCTGTGGCAGAGCGATGCCCTTAGAGGATGTAGCAACCACTGTCCATTTAAGGCCACTCTGGGCGGGCAGACTCAAGAGCTCACTGTCACCTCTTCAGTTTGTATTCATGGCTCAGCCGAGGGGGAGGGGTTAGATCCACCACCTCCCCAGCTCCTGTCCATTTCCTCAAGCTCTCTTCACACAGCCTCCCATCATCCATTCGTGCATGAACATGTAATCTACTCAGTCTGTTTTCTCACCTGGGCACAGATGCCCACTTCTGCGGTACATCTACAGTAAAAACCCTTCATACACCCATGGCCTTCACACACTCATCCATTCATTTGTGTAAAATGATTTTTATCATGGTAGAATATACACATACACATATATATCCATACACATATATGTATGCATACTACACACACACATTCATATAGTGTAGGTGTGTGTGTGTATACACTGGTTAGATTTATTTATTCCACTTAACACACGTGAAGGTCATCTTGGAAGAGTGAACCTTGATTGATAAAATGCCTCCATTAGAAAATATCTGTGGGCCATTTCCTTGATTAATGATTGACATGGGAGGCAGTGCCACTCCTAGGCAAGTGGTCCTGAGTTGTATAAGAAAGCACGCTATCTCTCCTTCTGCTCCTGATTTGGACCTTGAGATTTATGTCCGGTGCTCCAATGTGGGTCTCTGTCTCTGTTTCCTTTCATCGCCTGCTGAAGGTTAATATTCAGGAGGATGCCTATATGTTTTTCTTTGGGTTCTCCTTATTTAGCTTCTTAGGATCACTAATTATAGGCTCAATGTCCTTGGTTTATGGCTAGAAACCAAATATGAGTGAGTACATCCCATGTTCCTCTTTTTGGGTCTGGCTTACCTCACTCAGGATAGTGTTTTCTATTTCCATCCATTTGCATGCAAAATTCAAGAAGCCCTTGTTTTTTACTGCTGAGTAGTACTCTAATATGTATATATTCCATACTTTCTTCATCCATTCTTCCATTGAAGGGCATCTAGGTTGTTTCCAGGTTCTGGCTATCACAAACAATGCTGCTATGAACATCGTAGAGCAAGGAACTCAGGACCGCAAGGGGTGCACCCACACACTGAGACAATGGGGATGTTCTACTGGGAACTCACCAAGGCCAGCTGGCCTGGGTCTGGAAAAGCCTGGGATAAAACCAGACTAGCTGAAGATAGCGGACAATGAGGACTGCTGAGAACTCAAGAACAATGGCAATGGGTTTTTGATCCTACTGCACGCACTGGCTTTGTGGGAGCCTAGGCAGTTTGGATGCTCAACTTGCTAGACCTGGATGGAGGTGGGGGTTCCTTGGACTTCCCACAGGACAGGGAACCCTGATTGCTTTTCGGGCTGAGGGGGGGGACTTAATTGGGGGAGGAGGAGGGAAATGGGAGGCGGTGGCGGGGAAGAGACAGAAATCTTTAATAAATAAATAAATTTAAAAAAATAAAATAAAAAATAAAAAAAAAGAAAGCACGCTAGCCAGATGGTGGTGGCGCATGCCTTTAATCCCAGCACTCGAGAGGCAGAGGCAGGTAGATCTCTGTGAGTTCGAGGCCAGCCTGGTCTACAAGAGCTAGCTCCAGGACAGGCTCCAAAGCTACACATTAATCCTGTCTTGAAAAAGAAAAGAAAGCATGCTGGACAAGGCACAGGGAGCTAGCCAGTAAGCAGCATTCCCCCATGGTTTCTGCTTTTGTCCCATGCCTCCATGTTCTTTCCGGACTTGGCTTCCTTTGGTGATGGACTGTAATCAATAAACCAAATAAACGCTTTTCTCTCTAACTTGCTTTTGGTCATGGTGTTTATCACACCAATTAAAAAGCAAACTAGGACATGGTGTGTGTGTGTGTGTGTGTGTGTGTGTGTGTGTACACAACTGTTTGGGGATGTGCATGCATGTGTGATGTGGGAGTGTCATATATCAGTCTATTGATTTCATTGGTTAAGCAATAAAGAAACTGCTAGGCCCATTTGATAGGCCCACCCTTAGGTGGGTGGAGTAAACAGAACAAAAAGCTGGGAGAAAGAAGCTGAGTCAGTGAGTCGCCATGATTCTCACACTCCAGACAGACGCTGGTTAAGATCATTCCTGGTAAGCCAGCTCGTGGGCTACAGCAGATTATTAGAAATGGGCTAGTCCAGGTGCGAGAGCTAGCCTAGAAGAGGCTAGATAGAAATGGGCCAAGCGGTGTTTAAAAGAATACAGTTTCCGTGTAATTATTTCGAGTAAAGCTAGCCGTGGGGGCGGCCGGGTGCCGGGGATGCAGCCCCGCTGCTCCTATTACAACACATGTGTTCATATATGTAGAAATCAAAAGTTGATATTAGGTGTTGTGGTTTGAAAGAAAATGGTCTCCATAGACCTATAAGGAGTGGCGCTATTAGGAGGTGTGGCCTTATTAGCATAGGCGTGGCCCTGTTGGGGGAAGTGTGTCACTGGCCTTTGAGGTCTCTGACGTTCAAGCGGGACCAGTGGTTCCCAGTTCTCTTCCTGCTACCTGCTGATCTGGATGGAGGATTCTCAGCTACCTCTCCAGCACCATGGTTGCCTGCTTCCTGCTATTATGAGAATGGACTAACCTTCTGAAATGGTAAGCCAGTCCCAATTAAATGTTTTCCTTTCTAAGAGTTGCCATGGTCATAGTGTCTCTTCACAACAATAGAAACCCTAACTAAGATGGGTGTCTTCGTTAGTTACTCTCCCCCTCATTTTCTGAGACAGTCCTTCTCACTGAACCTGGAGCTCAAGGGTCAGCTAGCTTGCCAGTGAGCCTCTCTGCTCCTCCCCAGCACCGGGACTGTAGGCACACGTCCTCCTCCCCAGCACCGGGACTGTAGGCACATGTCCTCCTCCCCAGCACCGGGACTGTAGGCACACGTCCTCCTCCCCAGCACCGGGACTGTAGGCACATGTCCTCCTCCCTGGCACCGGGACTGTAGGCACATGTCCTCCTCCCCGGCACTGGGACTGTAGGCACATGTCCTCCTCCCCGGTACCGGGACTGTAGGCACATGTCCTCCTCCCCAGCACCGGGACTGTAGGCACACGTCCTCCTCCCCAGCACCGGGACTGTAGGCACATGTCCTCCTCCCTGGCACCGGGACTGTAGGCACATGTCCTCCTCCCTGGCACCGGGACTGTAGGCACATGTCCTCCTCCCCAGCACTGGGACTGTAGGCACACGTCCTCCTCCCCGGCACCGGGATTGTAGGCACATGTCCTCCTCCCCGGCACTGGGACTGTAGGCACATGTCCTCCTCCCCAGCACCGGGACTGTAGGCACATGTCCTCCTCCCTAGCACTGGGACTGTAGGCACATGTTGCCACACTTGTTTCTTTATAGGTGCTGGAGTCCAAACTCAAGTCCTCGTTCTTCTGCATAGCAAACATTTTACCCACTGTGCCATCTGCCAACCCCCACCAATTCTAATTCAGGGGCTTTAGATACAGTCACGATGTTACGTAGCTGTCACCACTATTTCCAGACACTTCTCATCCTCAAAGAGAAACTGACTGCTAAGCAGTAATTCTCTTGTCTCCTCAGCCCTGGGTACCAGTGTTGTCTTGTCTGTATGGACATGCCTCTTATAGTTACAAACATCTGCCCTTAGGCGTCTGGTTTATTTCATTGAGCAAAATATTTTCAGTCTCTCCATATCCCTGTATGTCAGTATGTTTTTACAGTTCAATCATATTGCCATAGGGAGACAATACATTTTATTTATCCAATCATCTGTTGGTGGACATGAATCATCTTCTTCCTGTGATGCCTACAGACATCTGGGTGACTAGAAACTGGCACGCATGGGCCAGTTCTTTTCCTGCTGCCTGCTGATCTGGATGGAGGATTCTCGGCTACCTCTCCAGCACCATGTTTGTCTGCATACTGCCTTGCTTCCTGCTATTATGAGAATGGACTAACCTTCTGAAATGGTAAGACATCCCCAGTTAAATGTTTTCCTTTCTAAGAGTTGCCATGGTATGTGGGGACCAATCACACTGGGGAACCTGAAGATGGCCAACATTCACCAAGACATATAAACCAAGCAAAACAGGGTCCATCTGCCTGACAGAATGCCAGACAGACATGTGTTCATGTAGATAGACACCTACTATGGTCAGGAGAGGACAGGTCCATGCACATACAGGAGGTACACAATAGTACACATCATGCATCTGTGCATGTATAAAATGCAGATATAATGCAGATGTATTCATTTATATTCATATATTCCAGGCTATCTCTGAATGAAGAAATAGGGAAGAATACAATGTTTAGTTCTATCTTTCTAATTTTTCTATAAGAATCTTGTATTGAATAGATAAAATATTAAAATTCAAACCTAGAGCCATCATTTTTATAGCCCACTATTACAATGAGATCCCCCAAAGTACTCCCATCTCCCATCCCATGTGCCACAACTGGCCCTGGAGTGACAGGGGTAGGGGGAACAGGAAGACCAGCACAGAGACAGGCAAGCATGCCCGTCAGAAGCCTGGGGCTGCGCAATAATACACTACTTTGTGACTTCTGTAGACAAGGGCCACGCAGGAGGGCACCAGTGACCTGCTCAGAGCCCCTTTGCTACCAGATGACAAGGCAGAACTTGGAACGGGGACTTCTGACCTCCCAGGCTGCCTTCATCATGACTTAACTATTTGTTCCAACAGTGGTAAAATGCACATAACACAAAATGCACCACTCTAGAGGCTGGAGGTGCCCGGAGTTAAGAGCACTCGCTGCCCTTGCAGAGGACCCAGATTTGATTTTCAGCACCCACACGATGGAGCATGACTAGCTGTAACTCTAGTGACGGGATCTGACGCCCTCTTCTGGCTTCTGTGGGCACTGGTAATGGACATGGTACACATACATACATTCACACAAAAAACTCCTTGGTATAAAATAAAAACAAATCTTCCATTTAAAAAAAATCCATCACTCTGTGCATATTCAAATCTAGAGTCAGGAGTTGCACAACCATAGAGCTCCACCTAATTCCAAATGTTTCAGGCATCAGAAAGAAACCTGTGAAACCTATTTCTATCTATTAGACAGTGCTCCCCATGGTTCCCGTTCATCTATTCTCCCCTGCTTGTGTGTGTGTGTGTGCACATGTTTGTGCAGACATACATTAGTGTATACATGTACCTGTGCCTTTAAAGGCCAGAAATCAATCTCAGATGTTGCTCCTCAGGGACTGTCCACCGTGTTTTCTCTGAGACAAGGTCTTTCACTGGCCTGGAGCTGGCCAGGTAAGCTACACTGGGTGCCTAATGAGTACCAAGATCCTGCCTGTCTCTACCTTCCCAGTGCTGAGATCAAAGGTAAGTACCGCCACATCTGGCCTTTTTTTTTTTAACCTAAGTTTTGGGCTTCAAGTCAAGTCCTCAAGCTTACACACTTAACACGTTGCTGACAGAATCACCTCCCCAGACTTCTTCTCCTCTTTAGACCTGTTGGGTGTGGGCTAGATGTGGAATTATGCGGTGCCAATCCTTCCTCCCCATCACTCAGCACGTTTCCAAGGCCCACCAAATGTAGTTGGGAGCAGTATCTCTTTTCTTTGTGTATATGAACAATATCCCATGTATGGACGGAACACGTTTCATTGTTTTCCTACTTTTGGTAAGGCTGTTACTAACCTGTTTCTCTCCCAACAGTCCCTGCTGGCCTCAGACCATTCCTCCTTGTCTTCATGCCTCCCTAAGGTCCCCACGCCTCCCTACCCTTCAGCCCAGGTCCCCACACCTCCCTACCCTTCAGCCCAGGTCCCCACGCCTCCCTACCCTTCAGCCCAGGTCCCCACGCCTCCCTACCCTTCAGGTTCCCATGCCTCCCTACCCTTCAGCCCAGGTTCCCATGCCTCCCTACCCTTCAGGTTCCCATGCCTCCCTACCTTTCAGATCCCCATGCCTCCCTACCCTTCAATCCAGGTCCCCATGCCTCCCTACCCTTCAGGTCCCCATGCCTCCCTACCCTTCAACCCAGGTTCCCATGCCTCCCTACCCTTCAGCCCAGGTTCCCATGCCTCCCTACCCTTCAGGTTCCCATGCCTCCCTACCCTTCAGATCCCCATGCCTCCCTACCCTTCAACCCAGGTCCCCATGCCTCCCTACCCTTCAGGTCCCCATGCCTCCCTACCCTTCAACCCAGGTTCCCATGCCTCCCTCCCCTTCAGCCCAGGTCCTCATGCCTCAGCTTGGCTCCTTAAGCCATCTAACCAGAGCCCTGTTCATTAGGACAGTCTCTGGGGCATGGAGATGAGCAGTGACCAGATTCTCGCTATTTCTGGGCTCTATATTGCTAGACTAGCACGACCTGGGACCTCCCTGTCAGAAGTAAGGATGATAAAAGTGAGACTTACCCAGAAAGTCATCAAAGGAGAACTTGTCATTGTCCCAAATCTGGAAGACCACGCGAGCTGGGATCTTGCTCTCTGTCTTGTCAAGTCTCCAGAAGGCATCCTGACCCAGAGGAGGATCAGGGAAGCAAAGTTAGAAAAGTTTGTACCAAGCCACAGACAGAGAAGCCCCTCTAGCCTGGAAGGCTACAAGGTAGAGGCTGTGGAGCAGTGTATCCCTGAGGGTCACGTCCAAGCCAGGTCCTAGCAGGAAGAGTAAGAAGGGCCTGGCAGTGCTCGGGGGTGCAATAGCTGGTTTTTAATGTCGATTTGCTATGACTTAGAATCACCCGAAATGAGAAGCTCAATTGAGGAACTGTCTAGATGAGCTTGGCCTGTGGGCACATCTGTGGGAAATTCTTAATTGTTCATTGATGTAGGAAGGACCAGACTATAGCCAGTGGCACCATTCCCTAGGCTGGGTCCTGAATTATCTTCCAACAAGAAAGCTTTCCGCTGAGAAACCCAAAGCACCTAGAATGTCCAGGGCACAGAATAGGGAGTAGCAAGCTGGGATTCGAACAGTCAGGTTCCAGGGTCCTGCTCTCAGCCCTAAACTGGGCTTTGCACATGCAGTCTCCAGGACTTGTGGGCTGGCAGAGAGCACCAGGGTGTACCCCCAGCTGTCACTGGAAGGAAGCAAGGCACACTGCTGTAAGTAGCTGGCACTGAGGCAGGTCCCCAGATTCTCCCTCCTATTCCTCCAGGCCCCCTCCACCTCCAGGCCCCACCAAGAAGTTTCTCCTTCCTTCTAGAAGAGGAGAACACTTTCCCATCCTGGTCGTTCTCCCTTATCCCACTGGTCAGTTCTTCTAGAACGAGGCACCTGGAAGGCATGGAAGTGAGATGGCCAATGGGTCTAAGCACTCTCCATCTGAAGGACTGTCACTGGGCTGTTCTGTTCACTGTGGATCCACCTGGGCAGGAAGTATGTTTAGGAAACATCTTCTGGGGCCAGCCTGAGACCTGGACCCATATCTCCTGGTGCAAGCTGGGAGATCAGAGCTGGGTAACCCAGGGAACCATGGGAGTGTCTGGCCTCAGATGCCATGGAGGTGGTTAATCCTCATTGTCAACCTGGGAGTACTTAGAATAACCCAGGAGACACACATAGGGGTGTGTCTGTAAGGGTGTTTCCAGAAGGTTTAATAGAGGGAAAACACCCTCTGCAGGAGGCATTGTCACATGGGTTGGGCTCCCAGAATGAATATAATAGGGGAAATGAGAGGATTGCTAACTACTAGCACCGCCCCCATTCCCTGTTTCCTCTTCTGTGGAGACATTAGCAGTCACGTTACATTCCCTACACTACGGAGTCACCTCACCAGACCTTCTGTGATGGACTGTCTCTCTTTAAACCATGAGCCAAAAGAAACCTTTCATCCTTTACATCCGGTACAGTGTCATAGCAACAAGTAACTAACGAACCCATCAAAGCCACCATGAACCCAGCCTTCAGAGTCACACCCACCTCACCAAGCTTCCCAAGGGAAGACCATGGCCACTGTCCACAAAGAACAGCCATCACATCAGCGCCAGAGCCTAGACTGCAGCCTGCATTGAAGGAAAGCAGACCGAGGCTGGCCCCAGCCACCCCTCTCTGTCTTTACCTCCTGCTTGGCTGCCTGGCCCAGCCTCCTGCAGGTGCCTGCTTCCCCTAGCCAGCTTTTACAGTCTGCTCTAGGCTGCCTGCAGGGCCGCCAGCAACCTCCATTTCTCAACAGGCTGGTTTACAGGCTCAGTAATGAGCCAGAGGTTCAAACAGCCCCTGGTGGGAGCAGCTGGTCAGGGGCTCGGCCTGGGGAATGAGCCTCCCAGGTCCCAGGCGCTCATTATGCTCCCGGCCTGGGCCCTTTTACTAGCTGTTTATTTGCAGGGTGGGGGCCTGTCTGTACGGCAGGCCCCAGTGGGTGTGCTGGACTCCAGGTGGGGAACAAGGCTGAACAACCCGCGGTGGTTCAAAAAAGTGGGATGAAAGGAGACCTTGTACTTTATGACAGTCTCGTCTGGTTAATGGGGTCCCTTGAGGGTCGGCCTGCCTGCCAGGGGCCCCAAACCTCATGGCAGAGGACTGCTTCAGCAGCCAAGCCTGAGAGTCCACAGCCTTTGCAGGCCTTGCCCTCACCCACTCCATCCTGTCCTGCAGCTAATCAGTGCCCTGCTGTGGGCAAGCTCCACTTGCCTCTCAGGATCCACCTCGGATGTGCCTACTAGCCCCGCTACCCTCCTTAATGTTTCCGCTTGATCCATCCCTCCTGTCTCCTGTCTCCAGCCATCCTCTGCATGGGGAGGAGTCTTCTGCTCCTTCCTAGATGTGTGTCCTCACTCCTGGGCACCTTTCTCCTCGGCACCCTATCCCTTTGTGGAGTCTCCTCTATTCCACCAGGCCACCATACTCTTGCCCTGTAGCCTACACAAGCCATTCTGTCTGGACCCCGCCTCCCCTGTGACTCAGTCACCTTCCCGTTCTTACCAGGGCCTTCAAAAGAAACGAAACTCCACGGGTGCCAGAGCAGGGCGACTCTAGCTGTCAGCCAGCACCTGCAACTGGGCCCTCAGAGATACCAGCTAGCACTCCTCCACCCCACCCCTCCTCTGCTCCCTCTGGATGCAGTCACATGTATGTGCACATGTATGTGCATGGGTTCATGTCTTTCATTCTCATGACAGCTACTCCCCATTGTCCCGCCCATCTCAATTCGCTGTCATAGTGCCAAATTCTCTTCTTACTTCTCTGAAGGAAACAGGAAGCCCCTACTCCAGACATGCCTGGCCACATTCCCCCAGTGTTGGTAAAAGGCTGTGGCCCCTCCCACTCAAGCAACCAGTGTGCATCTCTGACTCAGTTTCCCCACCAGGTCTACCCCCTTGTGGGGGTCACTGAGTCCTGGAGAAGGTGTGTAGAATGCTTGGTCCTTTCTGCTTTGCTCCTGTCCACAGCTAAAGGAGAGGTACTTCTGTATTTGATAAAGGCTCTCAAGACAGGCGCGGTATCTGCTTATTAGGGAAGCAGGCTTGTAATAGTCAAACTCCAGGGAAAGGCAGCCTCAAAATGTATAGAGCCTGGACACTGCTGGACTTTATACAACCTTGCTGCGAAATTTGGCTTTCTTTTCTGGTAGCCCCTACTGCCATCTCAGGGTTGAAGAATCCCTTTAACCCTAATAAATCCTTATTTTCTTTTTGATGGCTTCTGAATATTTGGCAGGACACTCTGGTTTCTCTGAGGTGCAGATGAGTCTGTGTGTTGGACTGGGAAGATTCAGGCGGGGGAGATGCAATAAAGAGAATTCAGAGAGCAAGAAAGCCAAGTGTATTTGAACTTTCCTTCAAGGTGAAGCCACACGACAGCCTGGGGAGACTGGTGTTGCCGAGGCTGTAATGCCGGGAGCATGACCTGTCTCTGGGTAGAAATCAGACCGATGGGACCTAAGCATATGTAGGCAGGTACTCTGTGAGGGGAACACCTCCAGATAGCCATTAGTGTCAAAGGAGGAAGAGGGTTGAAAGCATCATTGGGCCTTCCTCAAACCATCCTGGCTGAAGACTCACAAGGTCCCATAGCCAAGCATTGTGCTCTGCTGACCTCATAGGGTAGATCAAGTGTGGGTAAGAGGCTGCCACCTTGAATTTGGACCATTCAAGACTGCAGAGATCAATGCTTAGATGAGACCTAAGAATCTAAGTCCCCCACCAAGCTCTACAGGCCAGCCCTACCCTCTGAGGACACAGAGCTGGCTCTACCTTCTGCCCCTGTGATGGGCATGCTGGGCCTCCAGACTCTTCTGCCTGGCACCAGGTTCTTTCATGTTGCTAGGTGTATGTGTGGAAGGGTGAGATAGGCAGGGGCAGCAGGACTTGAACCTGACTATGTGTTAGGTGGGTGCTGTGTGGTTGTCAGTTATCCTGGTAGGTAGAGACACTGGCAACAGTGATACTAGCAGAAAAAGAGAAAGACGTGAGGTACAGAGATGGAGATAACGCCTTCGAGGGTGACAGAGATAGGGGTCAGAGCTGCAGGAATAGAGAGAATGTGACCGTATCAGCTTCAATGTGAAGCCCCAAGAGCCTGGTCCCAGGTCAAAGGCCGCTCACCTTCTTGGCAACAGCGCAGACTTGCTCAGCGGGCAGATAGTCGAAAGGAAACACGAACCTCCAGTTGAAGTTGCCCTCGCCACCAAGGGAGCGGTAGTGCACATCTGTCTTCTGTTTGTGCTCTTCAAATCCCACCATCCAGCTGGCCACACGCGGGAGAGGACAGTCCTCATTAGTCCAAAGCTCACACATCCCGTGGCATTTCCTACAGACCTCCAAAATCAGGTGGGCAACCTCGACTTGGACCAGGAAAGAGTTGTGGAAACGAAGGAACTTGATAAAGGGATTCCCAGGAAATCTCCATGGTGCCCACAACACACCACAGAATGGGACCATGTAACATCTCAGGAGGTCCCCAAGAGTAGCCTCAGTCCTTGCCATTTTAGCTCAAAGAAATTTGAGGGAAATGACCCCCCAAAGGTGCAGACCACCACTATGAAACCCTCCTTGGAACGATATCGTCTCCATCTCTACACCACAGATCCGCACAGAGAGGAACCCCATCCACCCCTGGGAGCTAGGAGGTACCAGGAACTGGCCCAGGTGGAGAATGATGGGACCCTACCCTTTCACATAGATGTCACTCATCTTCTCCCCTGTGAGGCTGAGGTCATCCAAGATCACATCTTTCGTGTTCCAAATAATACAACGCAAGAAAAACCTGTGTGCGGGAGGAAGCGAATGTAGCTACATTGGTACTCCAGCAAAGGATGTCCCCATTGACCAGCCAGCTCATCCAAGGAGTCCTTCTACCTGGTTGGCTGGACATTTTAGCCAGACCCAAACAAACTGCGTTTCAAGAACCCACTGACCCCCAATCTGTCCATCAGGCAACCTTCTCCCGCCTATCCCACAGTTGCCATGGCCCTCTGGCCTCCATCCCTGTTAGCACCTGTAGCCAGGCCCGTTACCTTCTAGCTCTCCGTGGAGTGATGTTGAAAGGAGGTCCAGGCCGGCCCAGTACCTTTGGAAATAGGTCAATCCACATCTGCAACTTCCCCTGTAAAGACCCAAACAGTTCATTCATGTTCTATGCATGCACTCACATGTGTGAGCATGCACACATGCACACACTCTTCTGCTTGCATCCATAGCTTCTGTACCTGTCTATTGAACACACCTGGGGATCAGGCCAAAGGAAATGATACTCAAACCTGCTTGCTTGCCTGTCAGAAAGAGACTCGGCACCCAGGAAAGGAGGGAGCCTAAACAGATCGATGCAGGACCCACTGCAGAGGAGAGATCATTGTCCTCCAGACACAGTCTGTTCAGAGACAGTGGGGAGCTAACTGTGGCCCAGTGTGCAGAGAATGATGTATGCAGAGCCACAGAAGGCCAGGGAGCCAGGGTTTAGTCACAAGGACTCAGGTCCCTATGACAGAAGCCACTTTCCCAGTTTGTTTCCCTCTGCAAATCCAGGAAATGGTCTCTCTTAAAATACAATAAGTAAAGTAACTTGGTTCAGTAACGGCTGCAGGATCTTAGGGCTGGAGAACAAGACAGTATAACCTGGGCTGCTTTGGGAGGCTGGGAGCCAGCCCACCTAGGGAAGAACCTGCTCCTTTCAAAGGTTCCTCAGAGCCTCCCCTGGCTTTTCTCCCCTCTCCTTCTCATCCTGCCCTGAGCCGCTTCCTTCAACCAGCCTGGCTGCCAGTCTTAAGCTTGTTCTCACCTGACTTCCAAAAGGGAAGCTTCCCGCCCTCCTACCCACTCTCTGTGGGCCTCTGCCATTCTAGAGGTCCTGGATCTAGTCTGAGCTCTCAACCGTAGTTCGGTACAGGATGACCTTCTGGAACTAAACCACTAACAATGGCAGACAGAGGACACCCTTAGGTAGGGTTGAAATGGAAAGACACCAAGGCAAGGCAGAAGCCAGGTCTACATGTGCCTAAAGCAAACGCTAGCTTTGTTTCCCAGGCCGTACGGGTCACCCCGAAAGCCCGGGTAGACGACTGTGAAGAAATGAGCCATGGAGAGAGTGACAGATCTCAAAGTCTCCCTGGTAATTTGGCTGTTCTGGCTGTCCTTGGCATGTAGCTCTCTGGGGTCCAAGGATTCCATGGCCCAAGGGACAAGGACTTACCTGCTCAATGTCTGGCTGCAGAGGACTGTAAAGAGGCCGTGACTCCACGTGCTCAGGGACCAGACCTTGTTGCTGAAGGACATGCAGAGCGAGGCGTTCCTCCACTGGGCCTAGGTGTGGGTTCGGGAGTCTACCAGCCTCTGCCCAGAAAACAGAAAGTGAGTGGGGACATGAGAGACAAGACAGCAGGGGTGCCTTCCTCTGAAGGCTGGGCAGAACTCCTGGGAGCCTCAGGGAATCCCTCCTCATGACAGACCATCCCCACAAAAATGCACTGGGCTGGTCCTTATGTCTCACTTTCTATGAGAGAAATGTCACTCCCACAGTCTCCGGGCTTCAAACACAGGTTCCCTGTTACCATCCTTTCCACCAAGCCTCTTCTAGAAAATTCTTACTTTCCATCTACACAGTCTTCCTTGTTCTCACCCATCTGTTCTTAACCTCTCCCAACTCTGAGCCCCAGCAACCTGTACCACAAATCTGGTGTGTCGGCACTGCCAGATTGAAGCTCTGGTTCTCGTAAGTGTGGCCATAGCTCAGTCGCTACACTCAGAAATCACGGTGAATGCTTCTACAGAGGACTCGCATGCCATGCACTGCTGACATGAATGTTACCATGCCCGATCCCTAGAAGGACCTTAGCAGCTGAGTACCACTGCCATTCCCACTTCACAGACATGAACCCTGCAGAAGCCCCACACCTGTGCATCAGGGCAGCTAGGATCCTACTCAGTTAGAAAAGATAAACCTGTGCTTCTCCCGCCTCCTGTTTTCCATGGGACAGCTCCCCACTGACAGATGACTTGGAGACAGGTGCTATGAATGGGAAGAAGCCAGGCTCAGCTCTGGGCCAGAGGCCTTGGCTACAGAAGCACAGGAATGATGGACATGTATGCACCCACACGCTCACATATGCACCCACACACTCATGTGTGCACCCACACGCTCACGTGTGCACCCACACACTCATGCGTGCACCCACACGCTCACGTGTGCACCCACACGCTTACATATGCACCCACACACTCATGCATGCACCCACACGCTCGTGTGTGCACCCACACGCTCATGCGTGCACCCACACGCTCATGCGTGCACCCACACGCTCACGCACCCACACGCTCACATATGTACCCACACACTCATGTGTGCACTCATATGCTCATGTATGCACCCACACACTCACATGTGCACCCATACACTCATGTGTGCACCCACACGCTCATGTGTGCACCCACACGCTCATGTGTGCACCCACACACTCATGTGTGCACCCACACACTCATGCACCCAAGCACCCATTTGTCCACTCACGTATGCTATTGGGTCACTGTTCTTTGGAGCCAAGCACACTCTCATCTGGTGTGTGCTGCTGGGCCAGGAGAATGGCCTGCACCCAGCTGGCTGGTGACTTTGGGAAGGTCATTAAGTATCCCTGGCCTCCATGGCTTCATCTATAAGGTGAGGCAGATGCTGGACCTCAGGATTTTATGACCTAGAACCCCTGTGCTAAAGTGGCTAGCAGAGCAGCGGGTGCCCCCAGAGGAAATGAGACTCCCCTCCTCAACCAGATGCTCATTCTTAATGGCTGAGCCTGGCTCAAGCCCTGGGAGAGTCAGGAGCACAGAGCAAGGAGGAGGGGGTGGGGCACAGGCATCAAAGCCGTCATTTCCTTTTATAACCTCAGCAATAGCCTTGACATCAAACATCTCTGCAACAAGCAGGAGACGCGGGCCAGCTGGGCCTGTAAACACCTCAGGGAGTTGGAACTGCTCTGGGTGGGCGATGTGGGAGTGTGGGCATCTCAGACACATGGGGAGCATGTGGCAAGGCATCTCAGCCACCACTCTGGGCAGAACCAAGGGCAAGGATGGGCTATGGCAATGCCTGTTGGTTGCCCCCAATGCTTAGGTGTAGGAAGTTGGAAATGTTGGTCAGGCAAGCAGGTTAGCCTAATTCAGTAGCAAGAGCCCCTCAGAGGTGGATTACAACCGGCTCTGACCAAAGTCTAACCACTGAAGCCCACAGGAGACAGCTCCTGCCCCTGACCTCCACCCTGCTGCACACTGGCCTGAAATCTCACCCTCTGTGTTAGTTTGCTTTCTTTTAAGGTGATAAAGCCTTCAGGCCAAAAGCAGCTCAGAGGAGGAAAGGGCTGACTTGCTTACACTGCCAGGTTATGATCTGTCATTGAGGGGCAGTCAGTGCTGGAACGGAAGCAGAAACCACAGAGGAGCGCTGCTCACTGGCTCGCTCGGCACTCATGCTCAGCTCGCTTCTCTCCACAGCCCAGGTCCACCTACCTAGAGACGGTGACGCTCACAGTGGGCTGAGCCCTCGGGCATCAACCAAGACAGTCTCTCAGAGTCATGGCCACAGACAAGCCTACCGAGACAGTTCCTCTCAGATTACTCTAGACCATACCTAGTTGACAAGCAAGGCTAACCAGAACACCCTCAGAAGACTTCACCAAGGCTCTGGACAGAGAGCTGACCTGGCTCTGCCCTGACCTCTGACCTACAAACTGGTAGGTTACTCTGCTGATATGGGGGTATCCACTTGGGTATTTCTGATGAGACAAAGAGCCCACCAGGGTTGGGACAACAGGGCAGCTCACCGATCTCCTCAATGGTGTATTCCTTATCCTGAAATGTCACTCGGTCTGTCCGGTACACAGGGGCCTTGACCCTGTGCTGTTGGCAGAAGAGCTGGAGGAGCTGGGAGGGGCGGAGCTGGTCTCTCCACTGGTTTGGTCCAGAGCTGAGGCCCAAGTACAAAGACTAAGATGAGACACTCCAAGAGCAGAGGGAGGCGCTTTCGGTAGCCTTTGTACCCCGCACTCACACAACACTACCCACCCTTCACGATCAGAGCTTGTGTCCTTTCCCACAGCTCAGCATCCCCATTAGACAGATGGGGAAACAGAGGCCCAAACAGCAAATGACTGGAGCCCTCATGAAACTGGAACTCAAATGCCATATGCAAATGCCCCTGGCAGTCACAGTATCTCCTCAGACCCAGCTGAAGCATGTGTTTCATGCTATCTTCTCCGTTATTTCTCTCTGTCATCCCTCCTTCTATCTTTCTAGGTACCCAGTCCTGAAGACCTTTCTGTGTGTGTCACAAGAGACTGAAGTCAGGTGTGGTGGTGCATGTCTTTAATCTCAGCACTCAGAGACAGGTGGATCTCTGAGACTACGGACAGCTTGGTCTACAAGGTGAGTTCCTGAACAGCCAGGGCCACACTGAAACCCTGTCTCAAAAATAAGGCTGAGTTGTGACATGATTAAGAGCTGGATACATAGATTCAAATTCTAATCTTGCTAGCTACAAGCCTCTGTTTCCACATCTGTGGGATGGGAACAACTGGGTTTCCCATTGTGTTCAAGGAGAGAACACCTGGGCTGGCACCTCATTCTAAGTAAGAATCAGCCTTTGAAATGGATGGATCTAGAAAACATCATATTGAGTGAAGTAACCCAGACCCAGAAAGACAAACATCATACGTACTCACTCACTCATAAGTGGCTTTTAGAAATAAATCAAAGAAAAAACAGCCTACAATTCACAATCCCAGAGAACCTAGACAACAATGAGGATCCTAAGAGAGACAAAAATGGATCTAATCTACATGGAAAGCAGAAAAAGACAAGATCTCCTGAGTAAATTGGAAGCATGGGGACCTTGGAAGAGGGTAGGAAGGGAGGGGAGAGAAAGGGAGGGGAACAGAGAAAAATATATAGCTCAATAAAAACAATTTTAAAAAAGAGCCAGCCTTTGGAGCTTACACACAGTAGGTCTGTGAGAGCCCAGAGCCAGCCTTGGTCACTTACACACAGTAGGTCTGTGGGAGCCCACAGCGAGCTCCAAACTTGGACAGCAGCCTGTTCTCCAGGTCAATGACCGTCTCTCCAATCTTCTCATCCTTGGAGAGGAGGTCATAGTCGTAGAGTGTGATCTTCAGGTCCTTCTCTAGAGGCAGGGTGCAGGTGAGCTCAAACATCCTGTAGGGGAGCCAGCAGTCTCAGACACCCAGTGGGGAGGCAAAGAGCAGCAGGACAAGGGCAGGGGATTGAAAGTCAACCTAGAGGGGTTACCCTCCTCAGGTCTCCTGTCACTTCTAGAACAAGCTACCCACAGTGCAGCTCTACTGGGTAGGCCTCTATGCGTGTGTGTGTGTGTGTGTGTGTGTGTGTGTGTGTGTGTGTGTGTGTAAACGTGTGTTTTTCCTAAGCTGAGCTGGCTTCCTGGTTTGTGCACCCCATAATGAACAGATGAATGAGATGGAACACAACACTGACATTCATGTTTCTACCGTGGCAACAGGAGACAGAGATGGGAAACTGTAACTGAGGGCACGTCCAAAAGCTACTTCCAGACTCTCGGGGCTATAACACCAACTTCCAAGATGGAATAGAAGGAGGGCTTATGGAAATGGCTCTTAGGAGGGAGTTCCTGTGGAGTCTACACACACACACACACACCACATAACCACCATCCCTGTGCTAGGTGCCAGAGCTCATGAAACCTCGTCTCCCCACCCTCCATCCTCTCCTATGCATGGTGGCACACTGCTGTTGGCCGGGACTGCCTCTCTCCAAAATCTGCAGAGTGGCTTTGACTGAGCAAAGAGAGGTCAGCATGAATGCAATGTGTCACTTGCTATATGGGAAGACCAGGAATCCACAGGAGCTAGAGAAACAACAGCCATATGCCCCCCTCACATAAAAATACTCATGACCAAACAGCAGCTCGGGCTCCCAGGAGCCACCCATATAACATAGCACTCAGCCCCCTCCTCTCGTTCTTAGAGTCCCTCCTGCCCTGGCTGTCTTGGGTCCCCTAGCTGACTCCCATAAAAGCACGTAGACACTAAGAGTAACTGCTGGTGACTTAACATCTGGGACAGATAGAGAGAGTAAGGGACTCTGGTGGAAAACCAGCAGGTCCTCATAAAGCCTCTTAGCTAATACCAGAGACAATGTCCTCATTTGGGCAAATGTACCAGTCAGGTAAGATGCTAAGGGGGGATTGGGGTGAAGGATATATGGGAACTCCACACTATAAGAAATGCATCTTCTGCCGGGTGGTGGTGGCACATGCCTTTAATCTCAGCACGCGGGATGCAGAGCAGGTGAATCTCTGTGAGTTTGAGGCCAGCCTGGTCTACAGAGTGAGTTCCAGGGCAGGCTCCAAAGTTACAGAGAAATCCTGTCTCGAAAAAACAAGAAAGGAAGAAAGGAAGGAAGGAAGGAAGAAAAGAATGCATCTTTTGAGTATTCATGTAGTCTCTGGTTTTGGAGGTAACTGTTTCTGTGTTTAGCCAGGAGCTCATAAAGATCCAAGATAAAGGTTCTGCTAAAGATGAAGATTTCCTGAGTGACAGTCACATCTGCCCACTTAACTATGAGGCATCCGTGCCAGTCCCTTTACCCCAAACCCAAGCCACTTTCTGCTTACTTTCCAAATACAGGCTCCAGGGTGCAAGGGATGTAGTTATCCTGGTCACTCACTGATTTCTTCCCTATGGAGATCTTGATGTATGGGTCACACTGGAGGACACAGAAATGTACATGTAAAATCACTGGGTCAAGGAGTCTTCGGGGCTTCTGGCTTCCAATGACAAACAGATTGTGTCCTGTCGGACCAGGGCCCATCCTCCATACCACATGACACCACATCACACCATACAACACCACACCTCACCACACTGTACCACAACACACTACACCACACCACACCACACAACACTACAGGACAGTACACTATACCACACCATGTCATACACACCAAACCATACCATACCATACCATACCACACCACACCACATCATACCATACCACACCACACCACACCACACCACACCACACCATAACTACACCACACCATATCACACCATAACACACCACACCATACCATACCAATACCATACCACACCACATACACTGTACCATACCACACCAAATCCCAGCATATCATGACATACCTCACTCTGTCACACACTATGGCCAGACAGGTCTTCTAGCCTCACATCCAGCAGGGGGAAGGGTGAGTGTCCTATACTCCTAACCCACTGGCACATGGGAAGAGGTAGGTGTGGTTAGACCCCAACCTTCATACACATACAACCATATATTCCTAGGCAAGATTGGGGTCCCCTCTATCTTCAAATGGCCTAGTTCCAAAGATGGAAAGAGACAGACAGGGCCACATTTTGTCCACTAGAACAGCGTGGGCCTGTCTTCTGTGTGCTACCTGTAAGCAGCAGCAGACTTTGCACCATCCTGCAGGAATACGACAAGAGAGAGGAACAGGGGTAGCACAGCGCCATGAAGGCTTGAAGAATATAAGCCAGGACGACAGTCATAGCCCGGAGGCCACCTGTGCTGCCCAGGCTAGATCTAGTGTGTGACCCCTCATCTTTGAAAGGCCGGACTGTGTGGATGGGACACCAGGATTCTGCCCCCAACCATAGGGACGCATCCTGGCCCTGAACCCATCTAAGAGGACAAGGAAGGACCCAGGCTTGGACCTCTGAACTCCAGCCGCTGCCACCCCTGCCTCGCTGTTCTCTCTCCCTTTCCAGGTCCTCGCTTTCTGCCAATGCCTCTCCTTCAGCTCCCCCTCCTCCTCCAGCTCTGGCCAGGACTTAGCTCTGTTTCTTGCTTCAGACATGAAATTTAAGGGAAGATCTAAAAACTCAGTAATCCAGAGAAATGATATTTTACTGTGGTATTTTGTGTGCCAGAGAGATGGCTCAGAGGTTAAGAACTGGATGCTCTTCCAGAGAACCCTGATTCTATTCCCAGAACCCTCATGGCATCTTACAACTCTCTAATTCCAATTCCAGAGGATCCAATGGTGCACTCTTCTGGCCTCTGTGGACACCAGCACAAATGTGGCACACACACACACACACACACACACACATGCACACGCACACGTATATGTATGTATATTCGCAAAATACTCATACACATAAAGTAATAATAAAAATAATTTTTATGAAGCCAGTCCCAACAGCCTGTGATGAACAGACCCTCAACATTAGCAGAACAAGCCTTCCGTTTCCCTGTGCCTCTATCCCCATAGCCCACAGATGTCACCAGTCTGCGCCCTCCTCCCTGCACTCCTCCCCTCCCAGGATTGAAACCTCACCAGGCTCAGCCTGAACCTCTACCCACATTACCACATGCCATAGCCCAGTGCTAACTGTGAATTGAGCAATCAGTTTTTAAGCCTTTGCCTACGCTCCTGTCACTCTTAAAATCCAACTTCCTGTCCTTCCCAGCCTCCCAACATTCATGTGCCCACAAGGGTCCTATTCCTTCCTTCAACGTTTCCCCATTTCTTCAGAGTCCCAAAGAGACTCTAGCCTCCCTGAGGTTGCTCCTCACATAGACTACCCAGCTCCTATTCAGCTCTGCAAGTGTCTTTGGGTTCCCTGGTTCACTGTGGTCTTCCTGAGACAGGAACTCTGTCTGCTTTCTTCAAGTCAAACTTGCTATTGCTCTCAGGGGACCAAAGGCTCCAAAAATATTACCTTGCCGTTGGGGTCCTTGGGTTGTAAGCCAAATGCTCGAACGATGTAAATACGGACCAAGCATTCCTGGGGACCCTGAGCAGCCAGCTGGTGGAATTGCCTTGGGGGTAGGGGAATAGATGGATCTTCTGGGAGGGGATAAATTTTGAAGAGACCCTAAAAAAAATGGTGACTTGATTTTCATTTTTGTCATCATCGTCAATAATACAGTAACCAACAGGACCACTGCTCTCATTTGTGGGAGCCATCACAATGGGGATCATAGAGCCAAGCCCCAAACTGGCCCACACCACCATCCAATTTTGCATCAACTACAAGGTCACCCCCAAGGACACCAGTAGCAGCACCATGGTTGTTGTTGCCACTGCCCCTCCCCCGTTTGCTTATTGCTGCAACCTCAGCCATAGGTCAAGCCAGAGATGGACCTTAAATTCTCCGATGACAGACGGATCATCTGTTTCCTCTTGAGTCTTGCCTCGGTAGAGCTTGAAGGTATTACAAAAGTCTGACAGGCCCTCAAAAGCCTCCACATTCTCCAACTGTGTATCATAGACCTGTCACGGGGAGAAGAAGAGACTCAAGAGCAAGAAATTAGGGGGACAGAAAGGAAAGAAACAGGAAAGGAAGGGAAACCAGGCAGTGTGGGTGAAGGAAGAGAGGGTGGTACATTTGACCGGATCAAACGTTAACAGAAGAACAAAAGCAAACAGAAGGGTGGGGTTGGAGTGGTGGAGGAAGGAAAGACAAGGAGGAAAAGGGGAGAAAAAGAAATGAAAAGAGAGAAAGCCAGGGAAGGGAAAGGAGGAAGGCATTGTTAGTCTACAAGTGTGTAGGGTTTTAGCTTAATCAGATTTTCAGGTTACCTGAGACTCACAAAAGTCACATGTTTTAAGGGATTAAGATTACAAACAAATGTAAAATTAATCTTCTGTGTAAAGAGTGAGTCATAATCCTCATATATTCTGTAATTCACTTTATTTGAATCATTTGATCTCAGCCTTGACTGTTTATTGGTTTCCAATCTCTTATAATTTACATGAGTTCCTAAGGTTAAAAGACGGCTCTGAATGCTGCCTTAGCCCTCAGTGAAGTTCAAGGTCTAGCATTTTATGGCTGAATTCTTAATATTCAATAGTTTGTGTTGTTTCCTCCTCTCAAATCTTATTTTTCTGTAACGTATGATGAGGAGTATGGTGGTGCATGCCTGTGATCCCGCACCCAGGCACTGTAGGAGGCTCGGAAGGTCCCAGCCATCCTCACTACATGGTGAATCTGAGGACAGACAGCCTAGGGCACAGAAGTTCTTGTGCCTCCCAAAAGTGTTTAAAAGTACAATGTCTTTTGAATTCTCCAGGTAAGGAAGGATCTGGGGATTTGGGGCCTTGTTACTAATTTCTAGTTTTAAAGTCTTGCGATTAGAAAGTGGTACATGGGCCATTGCCTCTTCTCAAAAACTCAAGGCTTTCTTCTCAGCCTGGTATGTGGCCAACCTCTCTACCTGAATCTCTCTATTGGAGTTAGAGAGCATTTCCAGACCTGATGGTGAATGTTGCAGTAAGGCCAGGCATGGAGGCCCACACTGTTAATCCCAGGACTCGGGAGGCAGAGAGTCAGGTAGATCTTTGTGAGTTTGAGGTCAACTTGGTACACACAGTGCGTTCCAGGCAGCAAGGGCCGTGCAGGGAAGAAGGGGGATGGGGCGGTGGTGGCAGAAGCGGAAGGAAAGGCTATAATGAGTAACTGGTGCTACATGTACTGATAAGGCAGATGGCTCGGGTCTAAGGTTTACATACATTTGTATTTACATAGCCTTGTAAATGTCTAGTTTCATATGTGTTCCTAAAATTCTTTCTAGAGTCGGCTCTCCCTCCTCATCCTCCTCTTCTTTCTCATCCCCAGCAGCCAGTTTTAGGCAAGATTCTCCTCCTCAATATTAACCTTGACACCGTTTGCTTAAAACCTACTTACAGACGTAATTTATCAATTGAGAAAAGATCTGTCCACTCTGTTTATTCTGCAACACAACTGTGAGAACTCACTGCACATCTCACCTTCCCTCCTTCTGCACTCACTGCTACATCTTCAGTAAGAACGATGTTTCCGCGGTCTCGCTACCCTGACCCTCCCACTAGTTCACTTGGGCTCCAGAGAACAATGCGATCATGACTAGTTCCTGTGCTGAGCTCTTTCCAAATCTCAGCTTGTTGGTCCCAGGAATCCCCTCGGCAACTGGCTGTTGCCTGGATGCTTGCCAGGCAGTATGGCTGGCCCTCTGCCACCTGTGTGTCACTGACAATCCTGTGTGCTGTTTCAGGGTCTCTGGATTTGTGTAGTTGGGGAAGCTGAAGTCACCTTGACTTGTTTTCTGTTTTAAAAGACCTTTTCAAACCATATATTCAAGTGTTCTTTCACAGCGGTGAAATTTGATTAAACGGTTACATGTTTCTGTCTAACTTCCCTGTTTGTGATGTCATTCTCAAAGACTCTGATGTCTGCAGTGTCCGGTCTCCTGTCCCCGGCCTCCGCACCTGCCGCCTTCTCTCTGTGCCTCAGGACTTTTCCTCTCCATTTTCTCTGTGTCATGACTGTCACTGACTGTCACCTCTGCCCTCTATGCCCTGACTGTGTTTTCCACGCTGCCATTCTGTCCTGTCCACCGTTCAAGATCATGCTTTCTCTGCCGCTAGAGTCCTTCCTGTTCATGGACCTTGTCCATTCTTGAGTCCCTTCCTACATGCTTCCCATTCTGAAGTTTCCTTTCTAAAACGTTCACAGCGAAACATTCCTTCTCCTCTGATCCCTGGCAAAACAGCCCTGGTAGGCACGCGGCCTCTTCTCTCTTTTATTGGTTTGATTTCTACTTTCTCTTCTTTTTTCCACTTTGGATCTTTGAATTAATGCTGTGCAATTACACTTACTAACCACTAAATGAGTTGGCTTTTTCTAGCTCGGCTATTTCCTTCCTTCCCACGTGGAGGCACAAAGCCTCCTACAGACATGGCTCCTCCATGTCGCTCCACCTACCCAGCTCCTCTGAATCACACCAGGTCTAGGCTTCTGCAGTCAGCCTGACCTGCCTTCAGAGCTCCTGCAGCCTTGGAAACAAGAGGCACACTTCCTACTTCACGTTGCAAGAGCTTCACTCTGAGACTATTATGAAAATTTCCAAGTATAGGAAAGTAAAGAGAAACAGCAATAAAGCCTGTGCATCTAGTCGCTGTCTGACACAGTTACCGCATTCCCACTTGGAAGTACACTTTCATAGGGCTTTATGAGAACCTGTCCCCATGAGCTGCCATCATCCTTCATGTCCCGTGGCCCCTGCCCAATCTCAGTTGTCCTTGAGCAGCCCTTACTTATATTTTGGAGTCTGCGGCTTTTATTTGTTTCCAGCTTCTCTGAAAAATGGATTTTGTGGGTTTGAATGATTTCCAAGAGAAAAGGGGGAAAATGCTGACTTATGCAGGCATGTTCATGCTGGGAGTCCGAATGAAATACTTTATAAACTTCCAACTGGATGGACTTTTTGTTTAAACTTATTAATTCCTCAATTTATTGTACTTTAATATGTCCTGACTGATTTCTGTCTTGGGTAACTTATCATTAACCTAATTTGTGATTAGGTTTTATAAATGCGCTCTGAGTGTTAGGTAGAAAATGTATTCCTTATTTTTTATTACTTTTGTCTTCCATTTTAAAATTATTTTTGTTGCCTGTTTCAAGACTACAAATTGAGTGTTTTATTAAGTGGCAACGTAACGAGCTGGAGCTTAAAGAAAAGCCTTAGCTTGTTGTTTGGTTCTTTTATTTACTGTCTATTTGGTCAAAGATGTAGTATATTAAAATTTCCTCCTCAACTTTAATTTCTGCTATTTTGAGATGTTACCTTTTAAGATAAAATTTTATATATCCCTATTTTTGCTCTGAGTATTTCAAAGCTCTGGGAGCCTTTATTTGGGAAATACGTCTTTTACCAAAGAAAGAAAACCACTGCTTTGTTCTTTGCTTTCTACTTTAAATTCTACACGATTCCTCTTTATTTACACTGAACCTGATTATGTCTCCCAAGATAGCATGAAATATTGCTTCCTGGAATGCTGTTTTCCCCCAGCCATTCTACTTTAAGGAGAGTGCAATGAATCTTTACTTTTAATGTAGTCTCGAAGTCCTTATCATTTAGCAGGAGAGTTTGATGCATTCTTGTTTATTAGAAAAGTTAATATGTTTGTCACTTTTTCTGATTTTAATGCATTTTTTTGCTGTGCCCTGTAATTTCTTTATTTTGCTGTTTAGACCATGAGCTTTTACCCCCTTTGCTAGTGATTTCCAAAGTATAGTTCTTTTTCTCTCTGTATCCCTCTGTCATACTATAAGCAGGTTTTGTTGGTAATGGTAGTCTTCCTATATTTACCGATATTAAAGGACCAGCATTCCTTTCAGGTCTCATTTTGTCCCAGAAATAGTTTGGATGCCTTTGTTCTGGAGAGCCTCTGCTCACTTGGCTGCTGTTGGAGACCTCCTCAGAGAGGTCAAGCGGGAGGCCGAGTGCCAGCTCCGCATCCGGCATCCTCCTGAGGAACAGGAGGCTGGGGCCTCCGGCCACCCTGGCAGCAATCCTCACCCTTGCTTGCTTTGTCCCATTTCTTGGCAAGGCCATCGCACCCTACGCCAGACCTAACTGGCCAAACCTTCTTCCTGGTACGCAAATAGTTCTGTCTGTCTGCCCAGCTTCACACGCCCAGCCACGAAGCCAGAAGGACTTGCTGCCTGAGGTGCTGTTGGGCTCCTGCGGCTCCATGGCAGGGCAGCCAGGACTCTAGGTCCAGCAACCAGACAAGAGTCCAGAGGACTGCAGGGACACCACCACTTTGTGAAAATGTACCCTCCAGAGTCCCCACCCAGGGCTTTCAGAGGCAGAGGATCCAGCCCACACCCCTCCACCTAGCTGAAACTTTCCATAATCCAGTCCCTTGATGGCACCCTCATCTCCTGGCCTGAGTCCTCTGCTTGCTCTCCCAATCATGAATGAGGCTGTGAAGTACAAGCTCACCGTCATTTTAGAGTCCAGAAGAAACAACATAGGTCATCTGACTGTACTTGTCTCATATAAATAAGAAATCATATTCAGGAAATTGTGTCCCATGTCATAGTCAATACATACTTAGCATGAAAACTCATACATTGTATCTGACATTTGGAGGTAGCTGGTCACCTGACATCAGAGACCACATAACACCTTGGAGAGCAATTTTTGAGTCATCTTTGGTTATCTTTCTAAAAACTAGTCTACCTTGAAAAAGTGTAATTGTAGAATTCCCTCAAAATATCAGAAATTGAAGGGCACTTCTCCGTTTTTATTCACAGAAACAAAGTCTAGCATCTTTATTATATTTGTTAGATAACTTCTTGTCTCTTGTAAGGGTCAAAGGTTGGAGTCAGAAGTAAATCCTCAATTGGGTTTCACTACAGCATTTCTACTGCAGAATGGTTTCCTAAAACCTCCAAAGGCAACAGGAGGATGCCACAAAGCCCTCAGCAGCCACCATGGTTAGGGACATCAGCAATTTGCAGTTCTAGTAATTCTTCACTTTGAAAATCTGTGACAGGGCCAGCCTCGCTTCTCTTTTTCCTTTCTGGAGAGAGAGCTAAAGAGGCATTTTAAAGCAAGCCCTGACATCATTTCACCTACAAATACTTTGGCATTTTCTTTCTTGGTATTCTTATATTTATCATTCATTTAGCGTGTATACACACACTCATGCCATGGCACACACACAGACTCTACCAGAGGATCGAGTTAGGACCGTCAGTCTTGGTAGAAAGCAGTTTTACCCCCGAGTCATCTTGCTGGTTGGTTCCATTTGTCTTTCATCCTTTGATACCGGGGATCAAACCCAGGACCCCACACATGCTGGCCGACACTCCACAGAACTCACCCCACAGCCAGCATTTATTTCAGTATTGTTAACACTCTCCCACAGTGCTTTCTCATTCACCGTGGTCCACAGTGATTTCTCGTTCCAAATCCATGCCCTGACGTAGGGTGACCTTCATTAGACACTGACTCGTGAAAACATCCCTGGTGTCCTAGTGTAACTGCACGCTTCTCATCCCTGAACCTAACGACTGGGGACACTGGGGGAGAGGTCTTACCTTCAGTGTGTCAAAATCCTTCTCCAGGTAGGAGCCGCACTTTTCGCTCTCCCCGATAGAGGCAAAAAATTTGCTCCACCAGTCAATGAACTCCTCCTCCTGAGCAGAGAGAAGGGAGAGGGCTTAGAGACCATCTGCCAACCAAGGCCTTCTGAATGGGAATTTTCCTCTTAAGGCTTCAGGATGACCTGGATCCCAAGGCTTGCCTGCAAGTGATCAAGGGGCTTGGAAAACAGGGAGACAGAAACCTCTGCCGCTTTGGGGCAAAGGCCATGCAGACTGGGGAAGTTTGCACCACCTGAATGTTACTTAGAAACTGGCTCAGGCCTGGCTCCATTTTCATCCCTGTGTTCCCATCAGGCACTCAGGCCTTTCTTGTCTTTCTGTGAGGCAGGAATAACCACAGTAACATGTAGCATCCCAGGGACAAATTGGTTACGGTCCAAAGAGTAAGCAGAGTTCTCTGCAGGGAGGATATGGAGAAAGCATTGCCTAAAAGTAAGGTTAAGGCAGAGCCCAGGCAGCTCAGTGACCCAGTCCACACCTCTGCCTTCTGAACTGGGAACCAGAATGCAGACTTCTCAAGGTGGAATAGAGGCAGAGTTCCTAAAGATGAGCAGGCATTTGTCACATGACTTTTATTCAAGATGCTGGTCAGTGAGGAGGGCTAGGGAACACAGAGTGAGTTGTGACAACTCGCTCTGCCCTATCTGCCCTTCATCAGCCGTAGTCACTGGAAGGGGCCCACTGCCTGCCCCACAAACCTCCCTCCACACCTTCCAGCTCGGCTCTTGCCTCAGCCCTTCCCCAGCTCTGTTCTAGAATATGCCTTTTCCTTAGAGAATCAGCAAGCTCCCTGAAGGATTGGCCCCAGAAACCTATTCGGGACAGGGTCCTCCCTCAGGCTGAGGCTTCTCCATACCACTGAAACCCAGGCAGTCCAGTGAGAAAGGCTAAGAGCAAGATGTTGGTACGTAACATTCTGGAACCACGACTGAAGGCTGAGTAGAACACCTCCTAGAAGCTGCACCAGTCTAGAGTGAACTGAGTATCCACTCATGAACATACTTAATCCTCCTCGAAGCCAAACCCTTTTAGTTCCCACATTTGAATGAACCAGGTCAAGGGATCCAAGCAGGCAGTGTGGGTACCAGAGGTACCCAGAGTTCTTGTCCACCCTGGAAGTGCAGTCCTAGCATCTCCCAGGACCCCACACAGCAGAGAATGAGTGTCAGCATGAGGCTGTCACTTACCAGGAGGATCTTCTGCAGCCACAAAAGAAAAAAAAATGGTTCAGATGGGTTAAAGTGCAGGGAGACAGAGCTTCTGGCCTTAGAGGGCTCCAGCAGATACCAGTACAGAGCAACGCAAAGAGATGCGGTAGGCAGGCTCTCACTGAACACACACGAAGACCAGCACGCATGAGACAATGTTTACAGTCAGGTCCAAGGGAGGTGAATGTGCTGAATCACACAGGACATACAGGAACACCGAGACAAGCATACAGGCTTAGGTAGGAGTGGTTAGAATGGGACACTGTTTAGCTGTTTGACTCTTCCTAAGGTTTATTTCCTTTCCCAGCCCAGGTATTTAAAACTTTAACAGGTTAACTCTGGCAAGACAGGCAGTCAACCAGTATATTCGACACAAAGAAAAGACAGGAACACAAGAGCTGTGGGAAAAATATTATATAGTTCTCTGTCTTTAAACATACACACACACTGAGAGAGAGACAGAGACAGGGAGACAGGGAGACTAGGAGACAGAGGAGGAGAATAATACCATCAACAGTAACACTCAAATAGACAGACTTCTTGAAAACTGAAAACAGGAAGAATACCTTTATTTCTGGAACCCTTGGAGCACTTAGGGGGAAAAGAGCCAAAAGCAAGTCTCAATAAAAACTGAGAAATAAACTCATGGTGGTCACCTCTCTGACCATTCAATAAAGCTTAAAATTAATAAGAAACGATAAAATGTCCCAGACTGTTAGACATTTAAAGACATATTCTTATAACCCCACGGAGTCAGAGAAAAGCAGGACTAGATTCAAGACACCCAGGTTGCAGACAGGCCCACAGGCACTGGGAAACTCAATCTGAAATGCTCTTGCTTTTATACAGAAAAGATAAAAATACACATGGTGGCTCACAACCATCTGTGATGAGGTCTGGTGCCCTCTTCCGGCCTGCAGACACACACAGAGAGAATATTGTATACATAATAAATAAATATTTTCAGCTAGGTGGTGGTGGTGCACGCCTTTAATCCCAGCACTTGAGAGGCAGAGATAGGCGGATCTCTGTGAGTTCGAGACCAGCGTGGTCTACAAGAGCTAGTTCCAGACCTGTGGGAAGCCCAAGGACCGCCCACCTCTATCCAGGTCTAGTAAGGTGAGCATCCAAACTGCCTAGGCTCCCCCAAAGCCAGTACGTGCAATAGGATCAAAAACCCACTGCCATTGTTCTTGAGTTCTCAGTAGTCCTCATTGTCCGCTATGTTCAGCTAGTCCGGTTTTATCCCATGGTTTTTCAGACCCAGGCCAGCTGGCCTTGGTGAGTTCCCGATAGAACATCCCCATTGTCTCAGTGTGTGGGTTAGGTCAGGGAACCCTGATTACTCTTCGAGCTGATGAGGGAGGGGGACTTGATCAGGGGAGGGGGAGGGAAATGGGAGGTGGTGGCGGGGAGGAGGCAGAAATCCTTAAATAAATAAATAAATTTAAAATAAATATATATATATATATATATATATATATATAAAACTAAACAAATAAATAAAAAGCTGATGACCATCAAAAAAAAAAAAAGAGCTAGTTCCAGGACAGGCTCCAAAGCCACAGAGAAGCCCTGTCTCGAAAAAACCAAAAAAACAAAAAGAAAAAGAAAAAAATAAATAACCTGATAATTTATGAGACTGGAAAGAGCAAAAAAGTAAGTAAAACATAAAATTAAATTTAAAGTAAAATTGTAAGGAAATAAACATATCAGAAAGGGGAATATCACAACTGATAACTAATACCCTCAAAAAAAGAGATGAAATAAAAAGAGATTATGGGGAAGAATAAAATAGTCCCAAATCTATGACAAAATCCTGGAAAAATCCAGATAAACTAGGAGATTTTTCTAGAAAAATATGAATGTCAACATCATTGCAAAAATAATAGAAAACAAGAAGACACTGCTGTCCTTAAAAGTGAAAGAAAGCACTTTCAAAAAATATCTGCCAAGGGAGCTATCAAGCCAGGAGACTTTTTGTTTGGAAGAAAGTTCTACAAGTCTTTAAAGAATAAATTATTTTTTGGTGCACAGGATAGAAGAAAAAAAGATGAAAAATCTCCCCTTCATCTGTGACAAAGAAGCACAGAGGAGAGATGGATGGAGGGGGAACATGCGTAACTCTCACTCCTGAGTACAGATATAAAACTTGCAGATGAAGACACCTGGTGAGGTACAGCTGGATCGTTATAGAACATGAGGATGGCTCACCAGAGATAGCTAAGCATCACGGGCCAGGGAAGCGGTTCATACCTGTCATCGCAGTACGCTAGAGGCTGAGGCAGGAGCATTTCCACCAGTGTGATGTCAGCCTGGGCTATGTGGGATTCTGGCTCAAGGGAGAAAAGATGTTTGAGGGGTGGAGAGATGGTCCTGAGTTGGTCCTCTCCTTCCACATCAGTATCCATGGGTTACAGAAAACAAACCCAGTTTCCCAGAATTGTGCAGCAAGTGCTTTACCCACTGAACCATCTCACTGCCCCTCTCCCCTCAAAAGTCACTGTGCTTCAAAAGACACTGCCAAGAATGGGAAGAGGACAATTGGTAGGATGGGAGGAAAATATTAGCAAATCCTACATCTGATAAGAAACTGTATCTAGAATGTTAGAGAACTCACACAACTCACTATTTTTTTAAATACAACTTAAAATAGGCAAAGGGGGTTGGAGAGATGGCTCATGAGTTAAGAATTTATACTACTCTTGCAGAGGACCGAGGTTCAATCTCCAGCACTCACATGGTCCCTCACAACCACCTATAACTGCAGTTCCAGGGATGAATCTGGTACCCTCTTCTGATCTCTGAGGACTCCTGTATGCACATGGTGCACATAAACTCACACAGAGATCCATAAACAAAACAATCAAATAAATCTTTGAAAGTGGGCAATTGCTACAGGGAAGATACACAGCAGCCAATAAGAAATAAAACATGGCCACTGCCCACCTCATCAGCAGAGAGATGTGAACCAAAACCACAATGAGAATCAGATAACACAGTAGGGTGACTCCTCAGACAGGCAGGGAACACAGTGGCAGTGGCAGGGGCTGTGGGGAGAAGCTGGTGAGAATGTAAAACATGGTGAACACTGTGAAACATCTGGCCATTCTGAAAAGAGGCAAGGGGTGCATTCCATATGACCCCTTCCCCCAGTCTACTCTTGATACACATCCTAGAAAAATGAGGATGATCCAAAAACAGGCACTAGAAAGTGCCAAGCAGCCTTTTTCGGAATGGCCACCAAGTGGGCATGACTCAAAGCATGTCTTCTGAAGAACGTTATTCACATACTTGGCAACATTCTACCACCTGGATGAGCCCTGAAAACACGCTAAGCAAAAGGAGCCAATCACCAGAACATACATTGCATAGTTGCATTTGTATGAAATGAGACCGAAGGCCAAGTAGAGTTGGGGATGGCGGAGGCTACAGGGAGTGGGTGCTCTTTCCTGCAGAGAGGGAAATACTCTAAAATGGATTATGGGGATACTGCTCAATTCTTTCACTACACGGGGAGGAAAGCTGCCAAACTGCACACTTTAAATAAGGGCTTGTGTGGACACAGACATCTCAACAAAACTTAGAAAAAAGGACAAATGATCAAACACAAGCTTAGAAGCTCGCACTAAGAATATTGGAAATCTCAATTCACTCTCATCCGTTCTCTATGTACAGCCTCCTTCTGAGCAATTTCTACCCACTTCAAAACTTGCTTTGTCTTTGCAGCGGTAGACATCCCCACCAGACATAAGCTGTACCTCACTTAGGTCTTTATTTTTTGATGTCTTCCCATGGGGGCAGGGTCCCATAACCTTTGATCAC